TTTGATGAATTGTATCTCTAGTCAGCATCTTCGCCAGTGCCCAGTGCAAGAGTGAGATGGCCCAAGTATTATTATTTTCCAGGTGACCGTTAGTGTCAGTGACTATGTCCAGAGAAGCGGAGGGTGACACATAGCGGTAAACAGAAGGGAAGGAGGGAGCCCCAAGCTCAAAGAGAATATAAGACTGTTTGGGAAGGGCAGGCCAGGCAGACGGGGATAAAACAAAACCTAAGTGCCCAGATAATGTGTGTGTATCTCTAAATTTTCTTTCTTTTTTCAATAATCTGTGATTTTGTTTTTAAACCTAAGCCTATGATCAGATAATTTACAGATTTTGGGTAATTATATATCTTTTCTAGTTTAATCTTTCTAATGAGTAGTCAAAAGCACCTTTATCAATCACATATATACAGTAGTTCAACAGTTGTGTTACTGAACAGCATCCTTGTTTGAAAGATAATCCAGAGTTATAACAGTCAAATTAGACCTTATGAAGAATTCACAAGCAAAGTTTGTAACATATCTTGTCTCAGTGAATTTAAAAGCACCTGATCTTAAAGATCATCTATAAAATGTCAGTAGTGTTAAATGCTCTTTATTTGGTGATAAACATAAATCACACTAAAATGTCTTTCATTAAGTAGAAGGAAATTTTTACGTAGAAAATTTTAATTAAATTGACATGTGTGTGCACTCTGTTGCTTAGGCATGTTGGACTCTTTGAGACCCCATGGACTGCAGCCCACCGGTCTCCTCTATCCATGGGATTTCTCAGGCAAGAATACTGGAGTGGGTTGCCATTTCCTATTCCAGAGGATTTTCCCAACCCAGGGGTCAAACCCGCATCTCGTGTATCTCCTGCATTGGCAGAGGATTCTTTACCATTGAGCCACCTGGGAAGCCCTTAAATTGGCATAATTTAAAAAAACAAAAAGATAAAGTGAACATTGTCAGTGTATCTGCAGCCCTTGCCTTGACAGGCTAACGAGCACAACTGGAAATCAGGTGAAGCTTGCTCTGTTCTATGAAACAGTGAAGGAATCTTCTCAATATTTAAGTATATTAGTATAACCAATTATAGAAATCTGAATATAAAGTCAGTCTTCCATAGGATTTGAGAAAGCATTCACCATTTCCCTGAAAAGCTTAACATTTCTCAATCAAGTTCAATCATCTTTTAGAAGGGGAAAACAGTGATAATACTTGCTGAATCAGAATTACTATCAAAATTCAAAACTCTGACCATATTCATTCAGCCATAAGCTTGTCTGATTTATGCATTAGTCTCTTTTTTCAGATAAGCTATCAAGTTTTCCCTTTCTCCCTTCTTAATGCCAGCAGAGATCATTTTTGTTCCAGGGCTGTATTTCTTGGAATTCACCAAGTACTCCATCAGCATCTCTCCCCTGGTGATGACTTTGTTCTTGCGGCATCTGTGTGAAGTGAAGTGAAGTGAAGTCGCTCAGTCGTGTCCGACTCTTTGCGACCCCATGGACTGTAGCCTACCAGGCTCCTCTGTCTATGGGATTTTCCAGGTAAGAGTACTGGAGTGGGTTGCCATTTCCTTCTCCAGGGGTGTTCCCAACCCAGGGATCGAACCCGGGTCTCCTGCATTGTAGGCAGACGCTTTACCGTCTGAGCCACAGCATCTGTGTGAGATAATGCAACAGGCTGAATTGTCTTTCACCCAGGCAGACCGTGGAGATTTGGCCCAGTCTTATGCTTGCCTCCTTTCTTCTCAGTATGACACTGGGCACACTTTTGAAGAAAATCTTCTTGCTTGATTCTCAGCATCACCCATATTTAAGTTGTTCTGTCTCCTTATGCGACCAAGAGGTTCCTGCTCACAAGCAGAACAGCCTTTGCTCTGAGTGTCTGTATTGTCACCTTATCACAGATAGGAGTGTTTGTTTTGAGTGAACCTATAGCTATTATTGGGCTTCCCAGGTGACTCAGTGGTAAAGAATCTGCCTGCCAATGCAAGAGATGTGGGTTCAATCCCTGGGTCAGGAAGATTCCTCAGAGGAAGAAATGGCAACCCACTCCAGCATTCTTGTCTGGAAAATCCCATGGACAGAGGAACCTGGTGGGCTATAATCCATATAATCACGAAGAGTTGGACACAACTGAACACTCTCGGATGAACCATAGCTATTATCTGAGCCTTGCTTTTGGCTCAATGGTAAAGAATCCACCTGCCAGTGCAAGAGATATGAGTTTGATACCTGAGTTGGTAAGATCTCCTGGAGAAGGAAATAGTAACCCATTCCAGTATTCTTGCCTGGAAAATCCCATGGACAGAGGAACCTGGTGGGTTACATTCTATGAGGTCCCCAAAAAGTCATACATGACTTAGCAACTAAATAACAATAGCTATTATCTATGAAGGATGGTAAAGTTTTCAAGTTAGAGAAAGATAAGGTCTAAGAGCCAATTCTTTAATAATGTTAAAAATCTAGAGAATATCATAATTTTTTCAGATCTTCCAGAAATCCTTTGTTTTTTCTTTCTTTCTTTCTTTTAACTACTGGATCTGGAATGAAACATTTGTCCATACCCAGAGTTGATTTGTTAAAGGGAGTTTGAAAAGATACTTTATTGTCTATATACTTCTGTTATAAAGGAGGTAAGAGCTAATTCTTTCAAACAAAGGTCAACTGAGAGTAAATAGTGTGAATGTGGTGGGTAAGAACCAGATGAGTTTTTGTGTCCCTGACTCTGAGTTATGTAGTTTTCACATGTGGGATGAGACAGTAGGATTACCCCCACATAATGCTGGCAAATACTAGCAGAGGATGATGTTCACAAAGTGCTCCCCTGGCCAGCAGGGCAACCTCAGTATGAGAAATGGACATAACTTATAATATACTCGTGGTGTTCAAGTGGGGGGTTCTGTCAGGACATTTTAAGAAATGGTTAATTGGTCAGTGACTCCACTGCTACTGAATAATGACCTTTATTTGTTAGTTTCTTCAGTCAGCATTGATTACAGTCGTTTTCGTCACAAAGCACAGGTTCTAGGAAAAGAGCATGGCTCAGGGATGATTTCATAAAATTTAACACTTAGGACAGGAATTGGAAAACTAGAGCCTGCACCAACTCCACTTTGCATCATGGTTTTGTGCATAAACTTTTGTTGGAGCACAGCCGCACTCACAGGTTATATATCAACTATGGCTGCTTTCATGCTACTCTGCTGAGCTGATTAGCTGTAACAGATTATATGGCCCAGAAAGCCTACAATATTGATGATCTGACCTTTTACAGAAAAGGTTTGCTGATCCTACAACTAGTAAGAGCCATACACTAAGTTCCTTATGCATTCGGTACACAATTGGTCAATCAGATACCTATGAGTCAGATCCTCATAGTAATTGTCTTAGAGTCAAAGCTAACTCAGTGTCACTAAATAAACTGCTTAGGGCCTTTAAGCCAAAGAGTCTTCCAAACTGACTTCGTACACTGAAAAGTGGCCCATGTGTTGTGTTGTTGCCTGTGTTTGAATTCTGATGTAGGAGCCACAGCATAGAGCCTGTTTTTTTTTTTTTATAGAACTCTGCCTCTCTCATCTGGATATCTGCTGTGTGTATATCTGAATATTTCTGCAGAAGAAGAAAAGGAGATCCTCATGTAAAATACAAATACACTGACTCTGAATACCCACAACACTGGTCAGTCCAAGTGTGTATATAGTCCAGAGAAAGACAGGGCACAGGGGGTCGAGGCCTGACTCAACCTCTAACCAGCCTGGTGCCCTTGGCTAGTATGCTTGCTCCATCTCCCAGAGACCAGCCCTGTCCTGGGAGAGGGCAGAGGGAAAGTACAGGCCAAGCTTCCTCCTGGGGCCTAAGGAGATGCTGGGGTCCTTGGCTTTGGGAGTCTAGAACCGAGCAGCAGGGAGACAGTGGGATCCTCTACAGAGTCGTCCCCTGCAGAGTCGTCCCCTGCATAGTCATCCCATTTGAAGAAACAGGAGCCCTTTCCCTGTGGGAAGAGCAAGGACAGATCACTGCTCCCCACATCCACAGAGCCTGGGTCCTCAGGAATGGGTTCATTGGTGTGGTGTAGTGAATCAACTGCTTCCCTGAGGCAGGGCTTCCCAAGTGTGATGGAGGGATCTATGAGAAAGGTTAAGTGAATCCGTTGTTGGTTATAAATAGAACAGAGGGAAAGAAGTACTATGACATTATTTTCCAAGATAGTTTTCCTTCAGCAGATTCTACTTTCAAAATTTATAAAATATTGTACTTGCAACTAGTATGTCCTGACCCTATTTTCAACGACATAAATATGAGTGAAAATGAAGGTTAGCAATGTATTATATACAAAATTTTGTATATTAAAAAAGCTGAATTCATTGTAGCTTACCATTAAGCCCAGTTGCCCTATATTCAATTCTTCCATCCAAAGGATTATAAATAATAATAATAATTTACTTTAAAGCGATCACCTGCAGAGACTAGATCACCTTTCCAATGGAGAAACATTAACCATCCTATGATGTCGACTTCAGGGAACAGCTCTTCTCATCCTGTGTCCTTCATCCTGCTTGGGATCCCAGGATTGGAGAATTCCCAGTTTTGGGTTGCCTTCCCATTCTGTGCCATGTATGTTGTGGTTCTAGTCGGCAATATCACTCTCCTTCATGTAATCCGAACTGATCCCACCTTGCATGAGCCCATGTACCTCTTTCTGGCCATGCTGGCTACCACTGACCTGGTCCTCTCCACTTCCACACAACCTAAAATGCTGGCCATATTCTGGTTTCACGATCATGAGATTGAATACCATGCCTGCCTCATCCAGTTGTTCTTCATCCATGCCTTTTCTTCTGTGGAGTCCGGGTTGCTCATGGCTATGGCCTTGGACCGCTACGTGGCTATCTGCTTCCCGCTGCATCACTCTAGTGTCCTGACCCCATCTGTCGTGGGTAAACTGGGGGCAGGTGTGATGATGAGAGGGCTGCTGTGGGTGAGTCCTTTCTGCTTCATGGTGTCCAGGATGCGCTTCTGCCCCAATCGGATCATCCCCCAGTCATACTGTGAGCACATGGCTGTGCTGAAGTTGGTGTGTGCTGACACTAGAGTAAATCGTGCATATGGACTTTTTGTGGCCTTCTCTGTGGTTGGCTTTGATATTATCGTCATCAGTGTATCCTATGCAATAATTCTGAGAACTGTTCTGGGGTTACCCTCAGGTGAAGCCCGGCTCAAGGCTTTTGGCACATGTGCCTCCCATATCTGTGTCATCTTGGCTCTTTATATCCCAGCCCTCTTTACTTTTCTTACCCACCGCTTTGGACATAATGTGCCCCAAGTAGTACACATCATGTTTGCTATTCTCTATCTCCTGGTACCTCCCATGCTCAACCCCATCATCTATGGAGTTAGAACCAAGCAGATCAGGGACAGGGTTATTCAAGGATGTTGTAGAAAAGACTCCCAACTCAAAGCATAGGGTTTTAATCACCCCAAGGTCCCCACAGTTAAGGCAATGATGATATAAATGCATAAAGTTTGCCAGAATGTCACAATTTTTTTTTCAAATTTATTGAGGTATAGTGAAGTGAAACTCACTCAGTCATGTCCAGATCTTTGCAACTCCATGGGCTGTAGCCTGCCAGGCTCCTCTGTCCATGGAATTCTCCAGTCAAGAATGCTGGAGTGGGTCGCCATTTCCTTTTCCAGGGGATCTTCCTGATCCAGAGATTGAACCTGGGTCTCCTGTACTGTAAGCAGACTCTTTACCATCTGAGCCACCAGGGAAGTCTGTATTGAGATATATGTAACATACAAATAGTTGCACGTGTTTCGGTTCAGTTCAGTAGCTCAGTGTCCAGTTCTTTGCGACCCCATGGGCTGTAGCACACAAGGCTTTCCTGTCCATCACCAATTCCCGGAGCTTACTGAAACTCATGTCCATCAAGTTGGTGATGTCATCCAACCATCTCATCCTCTCTCTCCCCTTCTCCTCCTGCCTTCAATTTTTCCTAGCATCAGGGTCTTTTCCTGATACTGATGAGTCAGTTTTTCACATCAGGTGGCCAAAGTATAGAGCTTCAGCTTCAACATCAGTCCTTTTAATGAAGATTCAGGACTGATTTCTTTTAGGATAGACTGGTTGGGTCTCCTTGCAGTACAAGGGACTCTCGAGAGTCTTCTCCAACACCACAGTTCAAAAGCATCTATTCTTCAGCACTCAGCTTTCTTTATAATCCAACTCTCACATCCATGCCTGCCTGCCTACTGGAAAAACCATAGCTTTGACTAGATGGACCTTTGTTGGCAAAGTCATGTCTTTGCTTTTTAATATGCTGTCTAGGTTGGTCATAGCTTTTCTTCCAAGAAGTAAGAATCTTTTAATTTCATGGCTGCAGTCAACATCTGCAGTGATTTTGGAGCTCCCCCCACCCCCGCCCCAAAATAAAGTCTCTCACTGTTTCCATTGTTCCCCCATCTATTTGCCATGAAGTGATGGTACCATATGCCATGATCTTAGTTTTCTGAATGTTGAGTTTTAAGCCAACTTTTTCACTCTCTTCTTTCACTTTCATTTAGAGGCTCTTTAGTTCTTCTTTGCTTTCTGCCATAAGGGTGGTGTCATCTGTGTATCTGAGGTTATTGATGTTTCTCTGGGCAATCTTGATTCCAGCTTGTGCTTCATTTAGGCTGGCATTTTGCATGATGTATTCTGCATATAAGTTAAATAAGCAAGGTGACAATATATAGCCTTGATATACTCCTTTCCCGGTTGGAACCAGTCTGTTTTTCCATGTCCAGTTCTAACTGTTGCTTCTTGGCCTGCATACAGATTTCTCAGGAGGCAGGTCAGGTGGTCTGATATTCCCATCTCTTTAAGAATCTTCCAGTTTGTTGTGATCCACACAGTCATAGTCAAAGGCTTTGGCGTAGTTGATGAAGCAGAAGTAGATGTTTTTCTTTAACTCTCTTGCTTTTTCGATAATCCAACAGATGTTGGCAATTTGATCTCTGATTCCTCTGCCTTTTCTAAATCCAGCTTGAACATCTGGAAGTTCACAGTTCATATACTGTTGAAGCTTGGCTTGGAGAATTTTGAGCATTACTTTTCTAGCATATAAGATGAGTGCAATTGTGAGGTAGTTTGAACATTCTTTGGCATTGCCTTTCTTAGAGATTGGAATGAAAACTGACCTTTTCCAATTTTCATTTTAATAAATTTAATTGTATTTGATTAATTTCATTTAATTAATCACATATTTAAAGCTTACATTTTGATTAATTTGGGCATATGCATACATCCGTGATACCATCACCACAGTCAAGGTAATATAAGCATGTATCACATATATATTTGTATTCTCACTCACCTCTCTCTTGTCACAATCAGTGGTGAAGAAGATTCTAAAATTCAGGCTCTCCTGTTTTTAAAGCCAATGTTAAAAAAAAACATCAACATCAGATGAAGGTGTTTAAAGAGAAATCAGGAGTATGTTTGCTTTTCTGAGAAGAAATAGCTATTGGGGCCTAAAAGTGCCTCCAGAAATAAATGGGTGTTCTGAAGGACCATTGTCAAAATTCCCAAATTTTAGAGTTTCCTGGAATTTTGATCCCTTTATCAAGAAATCAGTTAATATTTGTGAGTCTCTTCCCTTTTCTTTTAAAAATCATTTTATGGCTATATAACTTGAGACAGTAAAATGGGAATATCTTAAGACATAGTTTAATGAGTTCTGACACATGTAAGTGTCTGTGTGGCAACCTGCTCAATTAGGATATAGAAAATCCCCATCACTTCATAAAGATTTTTGCTGTGTCTTTTAGTTAAACACTCCCCTCCTCCCAAGCAGGCAAATACTAATCTGAGTTCTTTCTTTCACTAAAACTTGAGTTTAGTTTTTTTTTTTCTTTCACTAAAACTTTAGTCTGGTGTCCCACTCAGTATAAAGTTTTTCAGATTCATTCATACAGTTGCATGAATGAATGATTCATCTCCTATTCTTGCTCAGGAGTATACTTTATCTTTTCTACATACCTCAATTGTTATATTGTTATCCTTCTCTCTTGCTTCACTTTTTCTACCATTCTTGTCTTTTACTTCCAAACATATCCACTTCTCACTGCTCTTAGGGCTTTGCTTTTAATCATACCAGTTCTCCACATGGTTTGCTTCTAGAATTTTCTACTTCTCATCATTCTGTAGTTTTCAACTAATACCACCTTATCAGTGAGTTATTTTTTAACCTTTGTATCTTAACTAGATTCTGCCCCTTATTATTTTCTTTCAACACATTTTATTTTCTATGTATCTTAGCCCAACTAATTTAAATAATTATTTAAGTTACTTATTTGTTATTTATTCCTCTGACTTGAATATAAATTCATGAAAGCATAAAATAATTGCCTACTAGTCTATCCCCAAAACTAACTCACAAAAAAAAAAAAACCTCACTGAGTGAATGAATGAATTTTTTCCTGTGTGATACCATTGTCCTGACAATTTCACTATGAAGCACAAGATGGCATTTCCATGTATATTATCCCCTCATCCCTCCAAAATTGGATCCCAGTCCTAAAGACCCCTTTCTTTTATCCCCATGGAAATTTTGAAGATCTCTGTTGGTCAAATGAGATATGTTCATTATATAAATAGCAATTTCCCTCATTCTCTTCTTTTTAATTAACAAATGCAAAATATTTGAAACATTTTAAAGTTTATGTTCAAGAAATGATTTATTGAACAGTTATCTACACCAAACATTCCGTAAGAGGATGGGAATAGAGTGGAGAACAAGAGAAACTGTCCATCAGAGCATTTAAATGGTAGGAGAGAATCAAAATAAACATCCTGAATACCTACAATTCCAGCTCCAGTATAAAAACTTAGTATTTGAGCTATGCAGCTCTCTCCTGCACTCAGTCGTGTCTGACTCATTGTGACCCCATGGACTGTAGTCTGCCAGGCTTCTCTCCATGGGATTCTCCAGGCAAGAATACTGGTGTGAGTTGCCATTTCATCCTCCAGGGGATGTTCCCAATCCAGGGAATGAACCCACAACTCCTGTGTCTCCTGCATTGGCTGGCAGATTCTCTACCACCGCAAGATCTCTGAAGTCCATCCTGATTAGAAGTATCCTTAGCTGTTCTGCATTGATGAAAATAGATGATTGCCTTCATCACACAAGAGCCAATGGGTTCAGGAGATCAAATTTGTAACTAAATTCCAGGTTCTCTGTAGCCATTTGTAAAAAGTATCAAATGAGTACTGTGATTGAGGAATTCAATTTCCCCTTTGTAAGACAGGCAGAGTTATCACTGCCCCTCTCTTCTCTCAGGTAACACACATCTCTAACATGACGCAAGTGACCAAGAGAGATCAGACAGACCTTACCAAATGCATCCCTGGCAAGTCAGCTTTTCCTGGTTTTTAAACATTGCTAAGAACCAAGCCAAGCTCTCAGAATTCAGTTCTAGAGTAATTTCTAACGGGAAACCTGCATCAGTATTGTCTACTCTTTGTAGGGCAGACACAGGGTTTTCAGTATGATGGCATTTCATATTCAACAAGCATTTCTTTATCACTTATATGTCAGGGCTGCACTTGGTACTGCGGTTATAGAGATCAATAGTTCATAGCTCATCCTAAAAAGTACTCCTCCATGTTCTCACAGACTTCCCTGGTGGCTCAGATGGTAAAGAATCCGCCTGCAATGCAGGAGACCTGGGCTCAATCCCTGGGTCAAGAAGATCCCCTGGACAAGAGAATGGCAACCCACTCCAGTATTCTTGCCTGGAGAATCCCCACAGACCGAGGAGCGACTAGCACTTGATGTGCTCTCACAGCTTCCCAGGTGCGCTAGTGGTCAAGAGTCTGCCTGCCAAAGCAGGAGGCATAAGAGATGTGGGTTCAATCCCTGCGTAGGGAAGACCCACTGGAGGAGGGCACATGGACGGAGGAGACTGGTGGGCTAGGGTCCATAGGGTCACAAAGAGTCGGACACAACTGAAGTGACTTAGCATGCACGTGTGTACTCTAACAGAAACTGGTAAAATCTGCTGTCATCACACTCACTTACCCCTAAACACCCTAGTGATCTGATTGTGCATTTTAATATTGACTCTCAGTCAGCTAACCCTGGAGTCACTGACTAATCCTAGTCTGTCTTCTGAGTCTTGGACTCCCAGGGCCAGAGAAGGAGAGAGAGAAAGGCCCAAGGAGGTTTGATGCCTGACTTCACAGACCACAGCCTCCACCCCAACCTCATCCAAGATCAATGTAGTCTCAGTCTTTGGGTTTCAGTTCTCAGTGGGTCTATCTTAGATGTGGACCCACAGGGAAAAGATTTAGGATCTCTCATTTCTGGAAGCCCTCCAGATACTAGCTCCAGTATTTCTTACAGACATTTGCATCACTGCATGTGTGTATGTACAAGTGTCTATCCAGTTACATTTTGTAGATGAGGAAACAGAAACCAAACA